ATATGGGTATACACTAAAATAACGTTTAAAGTGATAGAATATTCAGGTAAATTGATAAGTAATAATTAGCACCTGGTATGGATCGCAGTGACAAGAACTCCAACCTCAACTCGACTGGCGATCGAAGAATCCATGCAGAGTAATTGGCCACGGTTAAATGTAATTAGCAGAAATGTCCAACAAACAGAATTGATAAAGTTTGCAAAAAGCAAGGAAGAAAAAAATAGGGCAAAAATTAATGCGACGCAAACAATATATGCAAGTCAAAAGTAGGCAAAGCAACAGTAATGGCAAGTGATCGCATTGGTCTGGCCAAAACAAAAATATGACGGATGAGATTGAGAAGTGGCCTATCTTATAGAGAGGTGGCTGGTAGGACATAATATATGCAGATTTCTAAGAAGAAATCCCAGCAGGCATCTGTACGGTTTGTCTATAAATTTGAGGAGGGGATGTTTTCGGCAGTCATTCACAATGATTGGAACAAAGAAGACATATTCAGAATTATTTCATTAGGGCTGTTTTGCTTAAACTTTTTTTTTCTAAAGTTCTTGTAAATTCTTTGATTTTCTGTTATACGTGCGAGCTTTCAACTCTGTCCACTTAAGTTCGATTATAATAAGGTCATGGCATTGGCCAGGCCAGTTTTGTAACCCTGCAATATCTTCAGCAGTAAGCAATTTCATTCTTACACGTGATGTACAGCAAAGCGATCCATCATGTTGTTCATCTACCGAAGATAACATTTTCACAAATAACATTTCACAAAATGTTATTCAGTTTTGTTTTTGTCATTAAATATCACTTCTACTCACGTTTCCTTATCCTCTAGCAGATATCTTTAGAACCTTTGGGGGAACTTATCTAAATGAACTGTTATTATTATAACATAATGTTATAATGTTATATAAATGGATTATTTCTAAAAAAAAAATTATCTTTGTGAAATGTTATCTTCTGCAGGGAGAGATTTCTTTGTTACAGGTAATGTATAGCAAAGCGAGCCATCATGTTGGAATATTTCACCTTCTGCTATATCTGGTAATCGGCTGAGCCTTGGGAAAATTATATAGTTTATTGTTCAATATAAATATCGATTTTTATCAGTTTCTTTTTATAGAAACGTTGTTTTTTATGCAGTCCCAACGAGAGGACTGTTTCTTGTATCAAGTTGTTTTGGGACACATTCGCTTGTATTATCCAGTTTTGTTTTTGACATTAAAAATAATTTCTTATCACTCTTCATTATTCGCTCGCAGACATTTTTTTTCATTCGTTTTTTCATCTTGTTCAATGTTTTTAGTTCGTGAAGAATTATTTGCTATTATAAATCAATTTAGATTATTTTGACATGGTATCATTTTTATTGTATGAACTGACGCCATACTTGTAAGACATTTTTTATAAAACATTTCACTCCAAGCAAGGCAATAAAGCTCCTAAGATGCAAGGGGTTAGTGAATATGAGAAAAAAAAAATAATACACGACTATGAAGACAGAGCAAAATATAGCAACAGGAATTAAGAAGACAGTAGATAACAGTTGTAATTAAATTTGGGGAGATCAAAGTTGACTAGGAAGGAAGAAACCGGAAGATAGTTCCACAAGCAAGAAGTGCGATAGAAGAAGCTGTTGGCATAGAACTTACGGTTACATCTAGCAATTTCAACTGTAAAAAGAGACCTTGCTGCGATTAAATTCATAAAGTCTAGTAACCATAGTAGAAAGTTCACCAGAACAATCATCATATGAAACGATGATAGATTTGTGCCGTGGCAAAAGTGGGTCATTTGTATTCGAATTGATTGCGGCTCTCGTTCGAGAGCGAAAATCTCCCGTGACATTAGATGAGAGTTTAAGTCTCGTAGGAAATTACGTTTTTATTCTCATCACACTTCGAATCCCTTACACATCATTGTTATTGTAAGAGCTTAACGAGGCGTGAAGGTTTTGCTTCCGTTTCTTTCAATGGGCAGATCAGGTTGCTGTTGCCACCTGATAGTTTTTTTTTTTCTTGTTCGTGAACACTGATCATGTGTTGATTCGTGGAATTGAATATAAATGCTTCACGTCAAAATCTAGAGGCCACCCGCCCACGACGTCCGATAAGTAGACCGATACTTATATATATATATATATATATATATATATTCACAAGTACACTTTGATGACTACTAAACGATGCTTAGGCGGATATTCACGAAGGTATAGATTGCAGGTTTGTTTCTGTCGTTTCTATTAAATATTCTATATCTGTGTTTGAATACGGAAATTTTTTGTAATTTATTTTTTTCTATAAGATGATATTTATTCATCTGAATGAATACAACAGTTTCAGCGATAGCTGAACATTTATTAAAAAAACAGTAATGTGCCCGATTTTATAGCCAAGATAATTCCGAGTCTCGAAAGTATTATTTGAAAGATTATTTGAAAGTGTTAGAATCTGTTTACATTATGTCCTACCAGCCATCTCTCTATAAGCAGTAGGAATCGTTGATGGACTTAGATAAGCGTTATATTTTATTTCCTATAACATTTGGTTTTAGGTTTGCTTTTTTAGTCATAATGCATATTATTGTCCTCGATCTTAGCTGAGAGAAGACCGATAAACCGGTTTCGTCCTGATGAAAGAGAACTTTAGCTCTGATGAAAGAATACCGATAAACCGGTTTCTGCTTGATGAAAGTGAACTTAGCTCTGATGAGAGAGGACCGGTAAACCGGTTTCGCTTTCATGAGAGGACCGATAAACCGGTTTAGCTCTAATGAAACTGTACCAATAAACCGATTTATTTCTGATGAGAGAGGACCAATAAACCGATTTCGCTCTGATAAGAAAAAAACGGTAAATCGGTTTAGCTCTGATGAGAGAGAACCGATAAACCGGTTTCCCCCTGATGAGAGAAGACCGATAAACCGGTTTTCCTTTGCTTTTTGTTGATCGTATTGTATTTTGGTATTACCATTTTACGGTAATATTTATTTTGGTTATCCATCTTTATTGTCATGAATTTTATCGTTTTTAAAATTTTGTATCCCAACAGAGTATTTTTTTTATTACACCAGATGTCAGGATAATGGTCCTGTCACTGGCATGTCACCTGATATGAGGAAGAAGAAACCTCAGTCAGGATTAGAACATTTATATTTATGGTCGTTTCCATAGAACTTAGAACTGCATGTCTTAGGCTATTTTCAAATATGATGGACATTGATAAATACGCAGCTTGCTCAAAAGATGCAATGAAGGATCCAGCCAGTCATGCAACCAACCAAGAAGCTAAAATTATCTTATCCCCAAATTCTTGTGAATGGAGAATAGGGAGATCTATTCTTTTTTTGTCTACGAAAACTGACTTTTGGCAAAAAACTCAGTTTTGCGTATAGTCCATTTAGAATTTAAGCTAAAAAAAAAAATTAATTCATGGCATGTTTCCTGCAATGGCGGACCTTTGACATGGAGCCAAGATAAAATGAATTTATGCTATACTTCATGCATAAGTTTGCCCTAGATCTGGGGCCAAATAATTATTTATTCATAGCATAATTCTTGCATAAATCGACCCTCGTTTGCGGGTGGGTCAAGAAATCATTAATGTATGCCATTATACTTGCATAGGTGGGATTTTGATTTAGGGGTAAAAATTCTTATTGTATGACAATATTTTAGTATATGTCGACTCTTGATTTAGAATCAAGAGATCATTCCTTTATAGCATGTCTCTTGCTTGGGCTGAGCCTTGATTTACAACCAAAAATAATTTATTTACGACATGATTCTTGTATAGGTCTATCCTTAATTTGAGGCCAGAAAATCATCTATAGAACGCTTCTTACGTAGCTCGATCTTTTATTTAGGGATAAAAATACTTACTGTATGACAATATTCTAGTGTACATCGTCTCTTGATTTAGAGTCAAGAGATCATTTCTTTATATCATGTCGCTTGCATGTGTCTAATCTTGATTGAATCAAATAAATAGCTCATTTATAGCATGCTTCTTGTATAGGTTACGTTAGTGCAATATCCAGTGCATGGACGAATAGTAGACATACAAGCTTTTATTGGAAACAGTGAGGAACTTTTCATATGTAAAAATAATAACTGTTACCAACCTTTCCATTATCCCGCTTACATACGCATGTTTGCAATATGCAGGGTGTCCATAAAGTTCGTGTGCATTTTTAAAAATTTATAACTTCATTTGTATTTGCGATAGAAATAATTTGTAAAAAGGATTAGAAAGAAAGAAATCTATATTTTTTCCGGTTTTATTGAAATTTTGTGTCAGTTTCCACATGCCCTCCATCAGTAGGAATACAAAGGGTAATACGATTTCGCAGTTCACGGAAAACATTTGCCAACTGATTTACAGTAATGCCTGAAATCACATTAGTTATTTTAGCTATCCTCAAAACTAGGTACATTAAACTTTAAAACATTTTTTACAGATTATTTCTATCGCAAATACAAATAAAGTTACAAATTTTTTAAAGTGCACACGAACTTTATGGACACCCTGTATATATAAAACAGGGAATTGTTTCAAAAGGTGTTACCTCATCCAGTATCTGTTATCTGGTAATATAAAGTAATAGTTAAAATGATTATGCAGCGCCAATCTGATAAACGAGAAGATCAGCAAATTTGCTATAATAAATGTGTAAGTGATGGGATTTGAAGAATTTCGGCGAATGTCATTCAAAAACACTGAAGTCAGCTATCTTTTGCTAAATTCTAGCGAAGACCATAGTCTATAGAATAATTGTGACGTATTATGCAAAAGACTGCGTGCATGATCGGAACTTCAATATTTTCAAAGGATAGAAAATCTCCGTAAATATGATTTGCTAGTGATTTTGCCTGCATGCATAGCCATACCACAAAATTGGTTTCCATAACACAAAATAATCTCAATGGATTCAATCCTAAATCTCTTCCAAAATTCTGTAAAGCGTAGTTCAGAAAATGCCTATCAATAATTTTGAAACGATACGGAACATAGATAGATAGATAGATAGATAGATCGATAGATAGATAGATAGATAGATAGATAGATAGATAGATAGATAGATAGAAACATTTGAGCAGAATGCGATAGATAGATTGATGGATGTGAACAGAATTATATATATATATATATATATATATATATATATATAGATAGATAGATAGATAGATAGATGTGAACAGAATGAGATAGATAGATAGATAGATAGATAGATAGATAGATAGAAACATGTCAACAGAATGTGAGAGATTGATGGATGAGAAAGTTGTGAACAGAATGTGATAGATAAATAGATAATGAACTGACGAATATATATATATATATATATGTGTGTGTGTGTGTGTGTGTGTGTGTGTGTGTGTGTGTGTAGAGAGAGAGAGAAAAAGAGAGATACATCTGAACAGAATACGATAGATAGATGTGATCAGAATGAAATAGATACATCGACATGAACAGACTGATAGATAGATAGATAGATAGATAGATAGATAGATAGATAGATAGATAGGAACAGACTGAAATATATGGATAGCTTAGTATGGACAGAATTATAACAGTCATGGATAGATATGAACAGGCTGTTAAAAATACATTGGAATTGCTATAAAAAAAACTGCTAGATAACCAATTCTATCAAGAAAGAAAGAAAGAAAGAAAGAAAGAAAGAAGGGGGAGTATATCCCTAAGCAAAATGTATCTTATCTGTCCGTATTTTCGTTTCACCTAAAATAAACATTCTTGCACCGATTGTTCTGATAAATTGCATATTCAGGCGTTACAAATCTGTTTTTTCTTGAATTAACATTTGCAGGATTCTGTAAGATTTTTTTCACTTGCATAAATATCAAAACTAGACAGACAGTTAACATCAAACATTTCCAATAGCCTCTGTCCAAAATTTGTTCTTTCCTTTTAAAGATATTTCCGAGGGTGGATGCCGTAATAGCCTATTCAGAAAATGCCTTTCATAATTTGTAGGATTCCTTTTGATATTCTTTCGTTGTTAGAAATCTAAAAACGTTTCCCATTCAAAGTGTTTTGTTTGTGGAGCAACTGAAGAACGGAGGTTTTCTCAAGGGAGTCACTTGCCCAGGCCTCAATTGGAAATCATATATTCGATCTATTATTAAAGATGCTGGGAAAATGGTAGGTTAATTCTCGCACCCCCAATGAGTATCTGACTTCCCCCCCCCCACTTGCTATACTCTATATTTACAAGATCAGATCAGATCAGACCAAAAATGCAGTATTGCCGCCATATCTGGGCTGGATCCGCCCAATCCTCACTTGCCCTGCCTTGATAGGTACTCAAAAGCATCTACATATGAGTAAAGAATTATTTTTCAGCCTATAATCCCTTTCCCATAGACTGCCCTCTCACAATTTCCATGGTATATTCTGACATGCGACCCGCGGTTCCAGCAACCCTGACATTTGTAACTTGGACCCGCTATGCCACGTCCACAAGAGTGAATCATCCTCATTCCCCTCGTATTCCATTAGTAAACTCCACTCGGACAGCTTCTTCCCAAGAGCTGCTGCTTTGTGGATCAGATTCCCAGCAGGATGTTTTCCCAGTCACTAAAATCTTGACCTCTTGACCTCTTGGGTCAATCGTTATCTTTCCTGCACAATCCTCATGACCTTCCCTTTTTGCCTTTCCTTACGCTCATACAACCCCACACAGTAACTATCTACCATGAGTGGCTCTTGGGGCTTGTACTGGGTGAACATTAGTATTGCAAATGTACTTTTGAAGATATATCCAATGCCAGAATCCAGTGACTAGCAGAAGCAAGATGATTGGCAGCTTTATCAACAGCAGGTTTTCATTCAAAATGTCTTCTCCACCAAAGGATGCTAGATGACCCTTGATCCCAATTATTATAATTATGACTGTCCCTCCCTTAGTTCGCATGGCCGTTACGCCCTGCCAATACCTAATAAATAACGAACTATTCCATTTGATCTTTGGAGAAAACAGAATAGATGCTACTTGGTTTCAATGAGAAAAAGAAAGAAAGAAAGAAAGAAAGAAAGGAAGGTTAACGTCTATTTCAGTGAAATAGAGAAAGGAGTCAATTTCAAATATTTTCATTTGTACTCCCCTACTTCTTAACGATCAGCATTCATATTTATGATTCTTATTGCAATGAGTTAAAGTTTATTAAAAATTCAAGTTAATAAAAGAGCACTGAAAAACATTTTGGCCCTAAAGAGAAGATGCAAAGAAGAATGAAATAAAATACCAATGGAAAATTGCAAATCATTGATTAAAAGAGACTGATTGCTGTTGAATTAAATAAGGGATATGCTGCAAAGTATTAAATAAGTATTATAATGTTGCATGAATACTTTTCGCCTCGAAATTTCATAAATAACACATAAATTCATTTATAACAAAGTTTTCTAATTGTTTTTTTGTTTTTTTTTGCATATAATAGCATTATGCAATGGTGTAAAAATATTGCATGGATTTTTTTTCACAAGTTATAACTATATTAATTTAAAAAATTCATGGTATATGAATATTTATCCCCACACCCCTTTTACCAACTGTATCTTCTAAAGTTGACACCTGAACATGAATCTATGAAGTTCATTGCTTGTTGTTCGCATCGTAACAATAACACCTGATGCTTTTAATTCTTCCTGCATTTCTCTTCGAGTAGTCATTGGATTTTCTTGAATTTTGCGCTGAATTCTTCTAATTGATCTGGAAAAAAAATCATGCCTGGCGCACCAGATCTCGATTTGTTCCCAACAGTTTTCACCTTTTTATACTTAGCAATATAACGGAACGAATGGTAAATGCTATATTCAGGATATCTGCAATTTTCCTTAGCGTCTAGTTAGCAAAGTCTGAATTTCTATTTATAAACACAGGTTGAGGAGAAAGGACAATAAAAGAACAGACTTCAAATAGAAAGAAGATAAAGATTGACGTTGCATTTAAATTTTTGCAGTTCGTAGTTTCCAGGAAAGCAAGAAGGCGAGTTCCATAGTGTGAGAGAAGAAACTATTAGAATAGAACTTTACCAATATCTCTATCAATTTCTACAGTAAGATAGTGAGGTATAACTGCCAATCTAACGCTGCTCTCATGAAGGCGAGGTAATAAAGAAGAAAGCTCACCAGAACAATTAACATCAAAATATTTATAGAAAAGCCACAGGAAAGCCACGTCACGATGCTAGGAAAGTGCTTGCAGCCGAGATGGCAGGTTAGGACCGATAACATTGCAGATTATTCTTTTTATTTTTTCCAAGAATCTCTAGGTACATAGCAGAATCAACAGACCAGATGTGGCAGCATTATTAAATGCAAATTTATTTAGCTTCATTTTGACACCCACAAAATGTAGCTGATACACTGGGCCGTCTATTTTGATGGCAGCCATACGTTCTCTTTTCTTACAGTTAATAATTAGTCCCTTCTTTGCGCTTTCCTTTACTGCCATATTCAAGAATTCTTTCAGCTTTCTTTCAGAGTCTGCAACCAACACTATATATATATATATATATATATATATATATATATATATATATATATATAAAAATTTAAATGAAAAACAGACCACTTTAAGGCCCCATTGTAATAATTTATTTCACCAGAGAATTCTATTTTTCTCTGGATCTTTAGACTTCACTTATAAAGGTGAAACGAAAAATGAATTTAAAATTTACACTTTTGACGGGCAGTATTAGGCATAACATAAGTTGAATTAGAGGGTGATGAGGAATGGTGTGAGAGACATGGTCGAGTTTAGAGAGGGAAGGGAGAGTTTAAAATTTATCTTTATATTTCTTCTTATTAATATTGAGGAAGGAGTGGGTAAGGATCAGACATTGATCTATTTAATCGGTCAACTCAACGGAAATGACATGGGAAAAGGAAAAAAGAAAAAGGGAAAAAGAAAAAAGGGAGGAAGTAAAGAGATAAGAGATCTGCGTAGGGTTTTTGGAGGAAGGAGAGGGGTGGTATAACTTTAGCAATTTAGATAAAAACAGATTTTAACGTTTGATAGTTAAGTTAAATATTTAAAAACTCTACAAAGAAATTAAATTTAATGCTTGTTAGTTATTTAAATATTCAACTTCTCCACAAATAAATTAGGCATTTAATATAAGCTGAATATCTTATTAATCAAATATATATATATATATATATATATATATATATATATATATATATATATATAATGGACGGTTTCGACGTATGAGGATCTGATAGCTTAGTTGATTTAGTTATGAAATTTTGTGCGATAATCTTAAGTGGCATTTAAGACCCGCTAGTGATTTACAAAGGAGGCCACATATGGAGCAAGTGTGAGGTTTGTGAGATGAGATCACTGTTAAATTAGCTGACCTTTTAGTTCTTGCTCTCGCTTCTTGAAGATGATTCAGACAAGCAGATATATGTGTGTGTGTGTGTCTGTGTGTGTGTGTATATATATATATATATATATATATATATATATATATATATATATTTATATATATATATATATATCAGCTCTGTATCCTATGTTGTTAAGAATATGGCCAACAGAAATAAATCCTTGTACGACTTCTACTTCTCGTCTGGGTCTATTTTATATATTTAGAGAATTTGTTCTCTATCCGGATACAGACGTCCCTAGCAGTAAAATAATATTAATCATAACATTATTTCAGTTTAAAACACACACACACACACACGCCACACACCGGACACACACGCCACACACACACACACACACACACCACACACACACACCACACACACACACACACACACACACACACACACACACACACACACACACGACACACACACACGACACACACACACACCACACACACACCACACACCACTCACACACACCACACACACACACACACCAGATACACACACACCACACACACACACACCAGATACACACACACACTACACACACACACACACACCACACACACGCATCACACACACATACCACACGCACACGCACACCACATACACACGCGCACGACGCACACACACGACACACACACACCACACTCATACACCATACACACAAACACACACACCACACACACATACACACATACACACACCACACACCACACACACAAACACATACCTAATGTTGTCGGTTCGCCAGCACAAACGAGGATCTTAAGCTATGATTCTAGAAGATATCCTGTCAGATGTCTTCTAGAATAGGGACATTGGTATCAACCATATCATT